CCGCTCTTGCTTAATTCAGAGCGACTAGCCGTGCGAGGTTGCCTTCAAAATGAGTGTGTGTGTGTGTATGTGTATGTGTGTTTCGTGGATTAAATTGGCCCGCTTGCTCTTGGTTCGTGCTCCCGTCTGATCTGATTGGAGTTGTCTGCTTCTGGGGTAGTGGGGTTGGTTTTCTCCCTGTGAACTCCATAATCACAACAGCAGCCGTCTCTTGTTATCAATAATATTGACAAAAAAAATCTCTGGGTCATGTTCTGCATTACATTTTGATTTACATTTACTTTTTCTCACAATTCTGAATTTTTTCTTGCAATTGCGAGTTTACATCTCGCAATTCTGACTTTTTTTAATCAGAATTGCATGACATGAACTCACAATTATGAGTTATAAAGTTAGAATAGCAGGATATAAACTCGCAATTGCTAAAAATAAAGTCAGAATTGTGAGAAAAAGTCAGAAACGCAATTCTGACTTTATTTTTAGCAATTGCAAGTTTGTATCTTGCAATTCTGACTTTACTTGCAATTTTGACTTTTTTTTCAGAATTGTGAGATAAGCTCAAGTTTATATCACGCAATTCTGACTCAACAACTCGCAATTGCGTGTTATAAAGTCAGAATTATAAAGTCACAATTCATCAAATCCATGTGGTTGTTTTCCCATAGTGATGTCACTTCCTGGAGGATGATGTCATTAGGAACTGGCTTTTGTTAGTTAGGGATTTTACAAAAGACTAACAGGATAGAAAGTGATATTGAGGACCACAATGGAAATAAGCCTAAGGCTTTTTTGTGTATTTTACCCTCGATAGTGTTGAAATGTGTATGAATTAGTCTTTATGGGCCTTTTTGTATTATGTTTTAAATTTTGTCAAATAAAACAAACAAACAAACAAACAAACAAAAAGACACAGGAAAAATATGTAAATCAATAACCAACTTAATAAAAAGGGAAATGAATGCATAAAACAATGGTTGCAATATTAGGATTAGAGAAAGAACAAATGAATGATGATTTTTATCTTTTAAAGTTGTCATGTGGGAACATGAACAACTAGGCCTACTTCTTAAAAACGAGCCCCTCTCAGTTTGGCTTGGATTTTCAGTATGTTTCTTTCACACAAATAAAGCCTGTGATAGATCTGAATGTGGCTTGGAACAGAAAATAAACTATATACAGATGATGCGATTTTAAACAGCACTTTGATTGCTGCATTAACAACAGATATCTGAGCTATTATCTGTGCTTAGTGGGGTGGACATAATCACTTTAGTTTCAAACCGACTATTTGTCTGCTCGACTGGAAATGCCGCTGGTGAGGGCCAAGAAAGACACAGCATATGCTTATGACTAATGCAGTTAAACTCTCAAACATGATTGTAACGTCAGTATCTATTAACTAAGATCTTAACTAAAGGATGAAAACTATAGGTGAACATTCTAAACATTCAGCTGTCATTTCAGTAGTTGTTTCATGTTAGACACTTATCAGCCAAGTATCTCGTTTTTTTGTAGCATAGACAAAGGTCTGTCTATCTATCATCTATCGATCTATCATATCGTTATAGCGTTCTATCTATCATTCTATCTATTGTTCTGTCTGTTGTTCTATTGTTTTCTGTCGTTTTGTCATTCTGTTGTTCTGTCCTATGTTTCATTCTGTGTATTGTTTTATAATTCTGTCTGTTGTTTTATCATTTTATCAATCGATATTGTTTTGTCTGTCATTTGATCATTGTTGTTCTGTCCGTAGTTTTATCATTCTATCTTTCTGTCTGTTATTTTATCTTTGTAACGTTCTGTCATTCAATCATTCTCTCTGTTCTGTTTGTTTATTTGTCTGCCGTTCTGTCAGTCTCCTGTTCTGTCTGTTGTTCTGTCTGTCTCTCTGTTGTTTCTGTCTGTTTATTATATTATAAGACGCAATTATTCATGTTGCAGTTAAAGAGAACAGTAAAGACCGTGACACCTCTGTTTCTGTACACGCCAGTTATTTTTCAGAGTGTAAACAAACCCTTCTGTTAATCGAGCAGATGTTACCCATCCACCCCAAATCTCACTTCTTCCTTTCCTGCGCTGTGAAATCATCTCTAAGTTCATCAAGTGCTCCTGATAGGGCAGCAGGAGCGCTAGATTCGATAAACATCGTATTGACAGCGTGCCAGCGGCAGGGCATATGCCAGCGAGCTGTGAGAGGTGTGGAGCCGTGAGCAGCAGATGTGGGGGACGAGTCGCGCTCGTACCGCTGCCATGTCTGCCGCTGATGAGATTGGAAACTGTTGCTTGTATGCTGTGGGGCAACTTATCAATAATGGATCAAATTGGTAGGCAACATTAGTTAGAGGAGAAATGAAGAACTTGTGCTTGTTTTATGTTTGTGTGTGAGTGTGTGTGCAGTGTGATCTCATTAGTACTCATTAGTAGTAGATCTCATTGTAAATATTTGGATGTGAAGTATGGTTCTAGCACATTTTAATATATTTCCGTTCATTTGGATAGACACTGCTGACAGCAGATACTGTAAAACATAAACCTTATTGCATTTAAATGAATTGAAATGTTAAAGAATCCTTAACGGTTCACAGAACATAGAGCTCATGCAATTTACAGCTTGAGTTTATTGTGTTTGTAATAATAAAATATTAAATGTTTAATGTCATCAGCAATGCAGTTAACTGTTTATTAGTTTCTTGTGGTTTCCAAACAATGAATCAGTGAAATATGTACAGTATGTTTCACAATAACATTGTTTCACTTATATTTTGAACTTATTGAGCTTTCATGAGCCATACAAATATTGCAAAGTACTTTTGTTAGTCCCATTTAAATTTCATTTATAAACAAATTTGCCATTTAAAAAGATCTTTACAGTGAAAGTTTTTCCTCAAAGTCCTGCCATGGGCTTGTGTTTGAGTTTTAAACTCTGTCACCTGTTGTAGTAAACTCTCAAACTTTCTGACACGTCAGAGATGTCAAAACGTCTTGTAGGTCTCTAAAGTGGTACATATATAGAAGGCTTTTGAACTTTAGATACTATCAGTGATATGATGCTATTGTATCTCTCCAAAAGTGTATGAATCCCTTACGTGGAAAGTCACCACTCCCAAATGAGTTTGCGCGAGAGAAAGTAGTCTTTTAGTTTTAAGTCGGTTTGCACAATCCGGATAAGTGCAATATAAATACTGTTCAGTTTCTTGCACAGACCGATCGTTTCGTGTCTTTAGACATCAATGTATCGTCACGAGCCGCAGTGTTTAATTTGGATTTGTCTGTGCATGTTTTTTTTTACTCTCATAGATTTTGTTACCATTGCCATGCATTATACGACTGATAGACTGCAACGGCTGGAGTTAAAAATCTCCGTTTGTGTTCTACTGAAGAAACAAAGTCACCTACATCTTGGATGCCCTGGGGGTAAGCAGATAAACATCAAATTTTCATTTTTGGGTGAACTATGCCTTTAACATCCCTCAACAAACCCAAAACAAAACAGAACAAAAACCACACACTGCAATGCTATGCTAATTGTTTGACACTTCTCGATTCTGAGTATGAAAACATCTTCTTTTCCCAGCGTAGGCCAGGGACGAGCAGGGTGGCAGTATGAATATGTGAACACTTCAAAGGCAATTAGAAACCGAGGGTTACATAAACTACAGGAGATCTCATTTCTTCTTCTGCTGCTGTCTAACTGAACCCCAGCGGGCAGACGTGTTCCACAAAATCATGTCTTTGACTGGTTAATTTTTTCCTTCAATAGATCGCGAGGCTATCCGATCGCTCCCCCTGGAAAATTCTGAATATTTGACTATTATTGTTTTTTTACGGTTGTGCGATTTCTTTGAGGATACCTTTGATGTGGTTTGCGAGTCTTGCTGGTATTGTAGGATTCATCGCCTTTCGGCGCTCGTGGCAAATTAATTATTTTTGTAGCATTTTAATCCTCTTGTGTAGCTTAATACGCAGGGGCAAATTAAGACGGCAATGAATATTTGGTCCTTGAAATATGCAGAAATGTAAACGTAAGTATCCTGCAGGCAGAAGTTTCATCATGTTGAATCTGAGCGCTTAACATGCACACAAACCAAAGCGATTTCCATGTTGGGTGGTACAGAAAGTAACGTCCAATTGAGTAAGGCTGTGTGACATGTTCAGCCCACCCTGTAAAGATTCAGAAAAAAAAATAGTCTGAAGGAAACGAGAAATATAAATAGATATCTATATGCAATATATATAGCAATATGCTGATTGGTCAATACAGTATTCCAGTCCTAATATAGTAATTTTTTGTAAAAAAATTGTTCAGCTGCTATTGTAGAGGCACAAAAACGATCTCAGAAAAATTTGCCCCCAAATTATAATGAATAATTTTTGCATGATGGAAAGCTTTTAAAAAAGTAAAAAAAAAATGTTTATAATTTTTTTCTCATGATAGCTTCACTTTTTTATTTATTTTTTATTTTTTTTATTTTTCATGATAGTTTCACAAAATATTATTATCATAATATGTCTGAACTGCTTTTTAAAACGTTTTTAACCCTTTTTTCTACTTTTTACTTTTTTCATTGGTAATTTCAATCAGAAAATACTGCACTTGTCAAAATTAAGTTGACATGGTGTATTATTAATATATAAATATTATTTTTAAATAAAATTAAATAAAAAATAAATTATAATTTAAATATTCAGAGACTATATATTTTATAAATTAGCTTTATATTATAGTATTTTAATAAAAATCTGTGATCTTGATTTATTTTTTTACGTTGTAACCATTTCTTAAAACAGTAAGCCAAGGCTGTGCTGTGCTGTCTGTATTCACAATACAGCACGCCCTCTTGCACCTTACTGCTTAAATAAACCCCCTCTCAAAGCTACGATACAAGAAGATGTGTTAAAACGAGTACATTTAATTAGTGCTATTTCATCCTGGCTTTCTAATCCTTAGCTCCCGGCTAGCATAAAGCTTAATGCAGTGGAAAATCTTGTTTTTAGCGAAGATGAAGTAATGATGGCACTCCGTGGCTTAATCATGTTGACATATGCCATCTTCCCCTCTTCTCTCTCATGTGTGTTCTGTAGGCAGCTGTTCGTTTGAAGAGCACTACAGTAATTGCGGCTACAGCGTGGCGTTGGGGACTAATGGCTTCGCCTGGGAGCAAGTCAACACCTGGGAGAGACCCTCCATGGATGCGGCCGTTCCCACAGGTATGGGATACACCTCCATGCCTCACTCTTTCGTGTTTTCTTCATCTCTTTCTCTTCTGCTGAGGTATTTTTAAAGGAATAGTTCACTCAGAAATTAAAGTTCTGCCATTATTGTTAGAGATGCACCGATTGATCGGCCAGAGATCAGAATCGGCAGATTTTCCTCATGATCGGCCCGGATCGGTGATCGGCCGGTCAGTCTCACTTCTTTCCGATTTCGAGCCGATCTGTTTCGTTACCAGCGGCACAGGCAATAACGTCAGCCGCGCATTCTCGCGAAGGCACTTTGGCCTCCCGTCTGTCTCGAAGTCTGTCTCTTTCTCTCTCAGCCCTTCTCTCTCGGAAGCGAGGCAGTAGTTCACAGCGAGACAAATGGCAATCAAGTTCGCTGTCACTCTCACTCAGCCGTCTCCTACAGCGCTCAACAACCTCTGTCTCGCAGCACCCTTAAAGACAATAGAGTCAGCTACACAACTGCGTCTCTCCCCACCAGCTTATTTAACCCCATTTGCTCCCTACACACTACATCTGACACCAAAGCACTCCAGCTTCCAGACACTCCATTGGAAAGGTGCTACATCCTTATAAATGACAGTTTTGGGGGGTAGTGTGCTGCTTTTAAGCCACTAAAGAAGTTTAGGATTGCTGTAGTGAAAGCACCTTTCCCAGAATTGGATGGTGGTATTCAGAAGACGATAGTGTTTTTTTTTTGTTTTGTTTTTTAAGGCAGTGGTTCTCAGTTGGTAGGTTGTGTCCTAAAAACATGAGCTGTTGTGGCGCATGTTGATGTCATCAGGATCTGATTGTCTAATCAGGGGAGGAAATTGGGCCGCGGCATGATCCTTCCGTCATTAAACCCCGTGGAGACGCGCCGATATCAGTCTCTCCTCTCTGATTGTAGGCGGCACTTAATACAGTGTTCAGTGAATTACACCAAGGAGGCAAAAGACCTGATGAAAAAGGAGCAATTGAAGAGTGTACCCACAGAAAAATTGTATTGCTCAGAGTTTGCTCTTTCATATCATTCTGCAAGTATAGATCACCCCAAATTCCATGATGATAGGATTGAGAATAATATAATATAATATAATATAATATAATAATATAATATAATATAATATAATATAATATAATATAATATGTAATTTAAAATAAAATAAAAAAAATTTTTTTTTGAAGGTTTTACAATAATTTTAGAACAGCCTTAGAAGAGAACAGCTAATATAGGAAAACTTTATTGCTCAGTCTTGTCTCATCCATGGGGGACTTAATTGGCTTCTAATTTAAGTTTCATTGCAGTAACAACATCATCTCCTTCTACATTTTTTTTTAGAAGAAATTAAAATAGACACAAATTAGACAACTGTTGATGAATAGTATGAATATAGAGCTAAATAACTGTGTATATCATAGGTGAGAGAATTTGATCTTGAAAGAATTTGATGAGCAACATTTCAGTTAATATTGACAATGGCATTTTGGCCAGAGTGTAAAGAGTGTGAGATTAGGATATTTTTATCAAAAGAAAACTTTAGGAAGGATACAATTTTAACAAACATCTCCTTTTGCTCTCTACTTAGTCTCATTGCTGCCCAGGAGAATCAATTGTAATAAGGAGGTCTCACTTATGTTTTGTTTTCTCTACCGGCAGAGCAAGAAGAGGTGGGAGATAGAGAGAGAAAGGCGACTCAGGTGGAGATGAGGGCACAATAATGTGTTCTTACAGGATGTGTAATGAAGCCTGTCAGTCACCACTGTTTCGTTTTATTCCTCCGTGGACCGCGGGTCACTAGCATCAATACAATCCATTCCTCTCATTACCACTGCTCTCTGAGGACTTCAGAGACAAGCTCCTTCTCAAGGGAAAACACATCTGTGAATGAGATGTTGTGGCCAGGTGCACACGCTCTTATTGCGCTCGGAGAGGAGACCAATCATCCCTCCGATGCCACACTTCAAAACGCTAAGTGAGGGAATGTGTGCCAGTACTTTCAGTTGGAGTTATTTCAGGTAGTCAAACTTGTTGCCAAAAACATCTGTGTTAATGTGCACAGGTGATTTGAGAGAGGTTCTTTTTTGAGGGAAATATCCCTTTAAAGGAATAGTTCACAGAAAAATGAAAATTTGCTAAAAACTTGTCAGTACTTACCCTCAGGCCGTCCAAGATGTAGAGGAGTTTGTTTCTTCATCGGAACAGATTTCGAGAAATTCATCATTGCATCACTTGCTCACCAGTGGGTCCTCTGCAGTGAATGGGTGCCGTCAAAATGAGAGTCCAAACTGTTGATAAAAACATCACAATAATCCACAAGGAATCCTCAGTCCATTAATTAGCATCTTGTGAAGAAAGACATCTCCAGTGAAAAGTCCATCCCCTGTTGTCCTCTCACATCAAAATCCATAATTGGCTTCTAATTTAAGTTTCATTGCAGTAACAACATCATCTCCTTCTACATTTTTTTTTAGAAGAAATTAAAATAGACACAAATTAGACAACTGTTGATGAATAGTATGAATATAGAACTAAATAACTGTGTATATCATAGCTGAGAGAATTTGATCTTGAAAGAATTTGATGAGCAACATTTCAGTTAATATTGACCATGGCATTTTGGCCAGAGTGTAAAGAGTGTGAGATTAGGATATTTTTATCAAAAGAAAACTTTGAGAAGGATAAAATTTTAACAAACATCTCCTTTTGCTCTCTACTTAGTCTCATTGCTGCCCAGGAGAATCAATTGTAATAAGGAGGTCTCACTTATGTTTTGTTTTCTCTACCGGCAGAGCAAGAAGAGGTGGGAGATAGAGAGAGAAAGGCGACTCAGGTGGAGTTGAGGGCACAATAATGTGTTCTTACAGGATGTGTAATGAAGCCTGTCAGTCACCACTGTTTCGTTTTATTCCTCCGTGGACCGCGGGTCACTAGCATCAATACAATCTCGGAGAGGAGACCAATCATCCCTCCGATGCCACACTTCAAAACGCTAAGTGAGGGAATGTGTGCCAGTACTTTCAGTTGGAGTTATTTCAGGTAGTCAAACTTGTTGCCAAAAACATCTGTGTTAATGTGCACAGGTGATTTGAGAGAGGTTCTTTTTTGAGGGAAATATCCCTTTAAAGGAATAGTTCACAGAAAAATGAAAATTTGCTAAAAACTTGTCAGTACTTACCCTCAGGCCGTCCAAGATGTAGAGGAGTTTGTTTCTTCATCGGAACAGATTTCGAGAAATTCATCATTGCATCACTTGCTCACCAGTGGGTCCTCTGCAGTGAATGGGTGCCGTCAAAATGAGAGTCCAAACTGTTGATAAAAACATCACAATAATCCACAAGGAATCCTCAGTCCATTAATTAGCATCTTGTGAAGAAAGACATCTCCAGTGAAAAGTCCATCCCCTGTTGTCCTCTCACATCAAAATCCAAAAATCCAAAATATTAGTTTAGAACTGTTTTGGACCGTTTTGGCTTGTAAACTATGCTTGATCTGTACTTATTTCTCTCCTGATTCAGATGTGATGTCTTGAGAAAGCAATAGTATGGATAGAGGACTTAACTGGAAACAAGAGTTTTATAATAAATTTGTGTCTTACAAATACGCAGATTTTCGCTTCACAAGATGTCAGTTGATGGACTAGAGTGCTGTGGATTCCTTCTGGATTATTGCAGTGTTTTATCAGTTGTTTGGACTCTCATTCCGACGGCACCCATTCACTGCAGAGGATGCATTGGTGAGCAAGTGATGTAATGTTACATTTCTCCAAATCTGCTCTGATGAAATCACATCTTGAATGGCCCGAGGGTAAGTAGATTTTCAGCAAATTTTCATTTTGGGTGAACTGTTCCTTTAAATGTAAGATTAAGACAGCTCTATCTGGGTATTTTTAGACTGTGAGATTTAGGGTCACTGGTTTGTTCTTTGAAGGAAAAACTAAGTATCTTTCTGAATGGCCTAGACTTTGAGTTTATAGCTTAGCGATGTGTTTGATTTATAACACTTTTTGAAATCTTTATGGACCAAATGAACTCAAAGAGGCTGTTGATTTTCAGATATGTTTGCACTGTCTTTGATGGACAGATGACAGCTCTTGACCTAATTTTAGTGTTCTTTCACTGTTTCTCTCCCTCTGTTTCTCATGTTAGTCTGATATTTGTCCTATTATTTCTCTCCTCTGATTGGCTGGAGCTGTCAACAAATCAGAGCCAATCAAAAGAGCTGTCATTTAATCATGACAAACGATTTTGTGCAGGCGTCCACTTGGGTGTCCGAAGTCCCTGTGCATACTGTGCACTTTTTGGAATGGTAATTGAGTTCTGAATTATAGGTTGTCAGGGCAGCATTGCATAAATGTGCACGTTACAGATGGTTGACGAGGGTAAATGGCATTTTTAGCCTTTCATTTTTACGTTTTCATCTTTTCTTGTTCTTCGTGATGATTTGAGGGCCCTCATGGGCTGCAGTGCTTGATTGTGTGTCTGATTTCTTTCCTCTAAGATTAGAAAGTGGGGCAGAAAAGGTTGCAATTAAAAGAAATTGACAGGGAAGGAGCTTTAGGCAAGCACTTGCGTACACCCACTTACACATGCACTTAATCATATAAAAACGTATAAAAACCAGTGTGGGGGAAGCTTCAAGGTGCTCATAATTTCAAGTAGTTAAACTACAGTCATGTTACACTACAAGTTAATGAATGAATTTACTTTTCTTTGCAATCAGAGCAGTGTTTTTCTAACACAAAAACAATGAGTCCTAATTAAGATGACAGATTTGAACAGATTTATTCACAAAATGCCCCTAAGATAACTAGAGAACACCATCATTCATATAATTGATATTATTTTATAATTGATATAATTATATAATTCACAGTTTCAATGAACTGGTGCATTTAAATTAACTGTCCAAGTGAACAGATTCGCTAAAATGAATCTTCCCTAAGTTTTATTTGAGAGAGCTAACATTTAGTGCCTTAGTTTACTTGGCTATAAACATGCATGCATAA